TAGCCTGGTCTACAGAGTGAGATCCAGGACAGCCAGGACTGTTACACAGAAAAACCCTGTCTCAAAAAAAAAAAAGAAGAAGAAAGAAGGAAAAAGAGCTGTATCCTATTTGATCCTAACATGTACTAACATGGTACCCACTATGAACCCAACAGACCTGCTCCTAGAAGGACCAACTATAATCAAATGTTTCTTAACTTCCGGCTGCCCACTTCATCCTCTAGTTTCCATAATGTCCTTTATCATCTCAGCCAATTCTCCTTCCTGTGGGGAGCGGGTGAAGTCCTGAACAAGTGTGTGTTGCTGACATGAGCATGGCCATGTTAAGGACCCCAATGGCTCAGACTAAGGGGCAGCAAAGCCCCCCAAACACAAGCTAGGGCCAAGGGTTGAAACACATGAGCCCGTGGCGGGGGGCAGTCCACATTCAAACCACCAACACCATGTTCTGAATCCTTAGCATGTGGTGTGCAGGATCCAAGTGCAAATGAAATGCTGACCTGGTTAGTTGTTGAGTTCCTTTACATTTTTGTTTGTTTGTTTGTTTTTTGAGACAGGGTGTCTCTGTGTAGTTTTGCGCCTTTCCTGGAACTCACTCTGTAGCCCAGGCTGGCCTCGAACTCACAGAGATCTGCCTGCCTCTGCCTCCTGCATGCTAGGATTAAAGGCGTGCGCCACCACCGTGCGCCTGGCTTGAGTTCTTTTATATTCTAAGTACCTCTACAAAGTGTCTTTCAAGAGTGGCAGTTCAGCTCAGTAGTACAGTGCACAACTACCATGCACAAAGCCCTGGGTTCAATCCCCAGCAATGGAAAGAGAAGCATTTCAATATAAACATCTATGTAGACAAATGCATGCTTGAATATGGACTACCTCCAATTTTTACAGACATCACTAAAGGCAAATTGATGAGGCATAAAATATGGATATCTGCACATGAATAGACATTGTCAAGTTACTGTTCGGTAGATTAAGAGCAGAGCAAAAGTACATTCACAGGAATATGAATATCATCGTTTCAAGCAGTGGCCATCACTTGATACTTGTAATTTTTTATTTTTGCCACTAGGGGGCTGAAATGTACCTTGTGTGATTTTCATTCACATTTCTGTGATTGTCAGTGTGGGTCACTGATGGGTTTCTTATTTCACAATTCACACCCGCGTGGATATTTTCCGCCTATATATTTCAAATACATTGTTAACCCTTTTCATCATGTGATTTTTTTGATAAACCTATTTAAAGACATCATGTGTAGATTTAAAAAAATTTCTTTCTATCTATCTTGTGTGTGCACGTGCATACACGCTGTGTGTATGTGTGTGTGTGTGTGTGTGTGTGTGCGCGTGCGCGCGCACGCGCGCGCAGATGACCGTGGAAACCAGAGAGGGCACTGGATTCCGGGCAGCTGAAGTTATAGGTGGTTGTGAACTTCCTGACATGGGTGCTAGATCTGAACTCAGGTTCTCTGAAAGAGTATTAAGTGCTCCTAACCACTGAGCCATCTGTCTAGTCCACATGTATACATTTTTTTAAAGATAGGGTGTCACTTTGAAGTCTACACTAGCCTTGAAGTTGTGACAATCCTCCTGCCTTAGCCTCCCAACTTCAAGACTATAGGTGTGAGTCACTGTGTCTGTGTAGCAACCTTTTCCTTTTGATCTGTGCTGTGTGTCTTATTTTGGAAATCCCTTCCTACCAGGAATTCAAAAACACACCATTTTCTTATACAATTTTAAAACTTTTACTGTGAAAACAGATTTCTGTGTTTTAAAGGTTTATTTTATGTTTATGTATGCTTTGCCTGAATGTACGTTGGTGCATCATGTGTGTGCTGGGTGCCTACCGAGACCAGAAGAGGGTGTTAAAAGTTACAGATGGCTATGAGCTGCCATGGATGCTGGGAACTGAACCCAGGCCAGCCCTCTGGAAGAAGAGCAAGCACTCTTAATTACTGAGCCATTTCTCCAGCGCCCAGACTTTGACGGTCTTCATGTTTAATTCTCTATAATTTACCGACAATTCCTATACATGAAGCATAAATACAAGTTGGTTTTTTTCTGTACATCTGTACAGATGTGGGGGCGGTAACATGTATGGGCAGGTGCATGAGGAGGACGGCCTCCGTGTCCTGTTCTGTTCCTTTCTGCCTTAGTCCATTGACTGTCTCTTATTACATCTGGAACTTATCACTAAGCTGGTTGCCGGTTGCAGGATATTTGAACACACTGTGTGAAATGCACCTTTTGATTGGTTTAATAAAGAGCTGAATGGCCAATAGTTAGGCCAAAGACAATAGGTGGGACTTCTGGAGAGAGACGGGAACTCGGGGAGGAATCTAAGGCACAGGGAATTTGCCAGAGAGAAGCAGAGGGAGTTGGATGTACAGTATGGAGGAGAGGTTATGAGCCATGCAGCAGAACGTAGATTAATATAAAAGGGTTAATTTAAGTTATAAGAGCTAGTTGGGAACAAGACTAAGCTAAAGCCAAGCCTGCATAATTAATAAGAAGTCCCCATGTCATCTGAACTGGCAGTTCAAAGAAAGTTTCGACTACAGTAGCCAGAAAGACAAAGTGATTCTCCTGTCTCAGCATCTGGAACACAATTCAGAAACTAGTTCTGTTCACTGTGGCCTATGGCTATGAAGTCAGGGAGCTGCCACCTAAATTGGATGAGGGGTGCAGAGAAGATTGGAGGTTCAAGTTAACATATTTTCCTTGTCTTCCTTCACTAGGAGCCAGATTAGTTGAGTGTTCTTGGTCTAACTTTCATCCAGAGTTAGACTGAACTTCTGAAGACTCCTGTCTTAATCTAGAAGCATCGCACAGCGGCTGTCATATGTCCTCCGTCTTGAACCCATCTCTAGCCAAGAGGCCAATAAGATGCAGTTTAACCCAGAACATTCGTTTTCTATCTCCTGCAGAGGCAGGAGTGGTCTTAGGAGCAAAAACTAACTGCACTTCATATAGCATTCCAATTCTGCTGGTCTTAGCCCAATGCTCACTTCTGCCTCCTTGGATTACAGGTGCCTCCAACTCCAGGGCCTTTCTGAGGCCCTGCAGCAGGAGTTTCCACAGGAAAGTGAGGAATCGGGGTGAGGGAGGGGATGTCAAAGTGTGAAGTCAGGGGCCACCCTCCTGAATGGAAGTGTATACACGCCATCCACAGTGAAGCAAAGCGAAGGCTTCAGTCGTGTACTTCAGCGTCTAAAGACGGAACACAGGACTGGCAGATGGCTGAAGAGTGGAGATCACCACCTCAGTGTCTGCAGAGGGAGACATGGAGTATGGGAACAGAGTAGAAACCACGGGCACAGTAAAGAGGCCGTCTAGAAACACTCCCTGTCCCTCCCCCAACATTCTTTTAATCTTAGGCAAGTTCTTAAGACGTGGGCAGACAGCAGCCACGTTCTTGTGAAAATATTTAAGACGTGGGCAGACAGCAGCCATGTTCTTTGTGAAAATATTTAGAGAGGCTATGAACCAACACACCTGGTTCAACAGGCCCTAGTTTGGCTTCTGGACTTTGTTAAGGAAAAATATCTTCTTATACTTTTGCAATTGAAAGTCATGGGGTGGAGGGGCCTCGAAGTCAGTTCAAGACACCCCAAGACCAAGTCCTCAGCACAAAGGAGATGGATTTGCCCTAGAGGGACAGAGGGCAGGGGATAAAAGACAGGAGACAGAGGACCAGAGAGAAGGGGAAGGGATGTTTGTGGAGGAGATGACAAAGGACTGTCTCGGGATAGAGAAGAAGCAGGTGTGACCCATAGGCAAATGGCAGTTTATAAGGTAAAGGGGGAAACCTGGTGTTAAGAATGAGTTGGTTAATTCTGATTGGGCATATTAATTAAGGTGGCTTTTGACTGCTGAACTTCAGTACTTTGATATCTGGATGTTGGTAGTCAGCCTCTGGAGGAGGAAGTGGTCAAATTGGGGAATATAATTAGGCTAACTTTAGGAACGTAATCTAATGGTTTCTAGGAGCCATATTTGCCATGTTCGGGTTGGCTAGAGTCCCTTCAATGGGTGAAAAGAATTTTCTTTTTCCTTTTCTAACAGGGCCAAAGTTTAGAAATGTTGGAGTCACAGACCTATCTATGAATGAGGTGGTCTCCTGTAGGACAGAGAAAGGATGGCTCCCAGGAGGGTGGCCCCTGATTTCACACTTTGGTATCCCCTCCCTCACCCCGACTCCTAACTTTCCCATGGGTCTCCCACTTTGATCTCGCACTAGAAACCACGCGCGCGCGCACACACACATACACACACAGGCACACACACAGGCGCGCACACAGGCGCGCACACACTCGGCGCAGTGCAGGACGCAGGTGGCCACCTGCCCGCCCCAGCCATCCCGGGTCCGGAGCCTGCGGTGTGCTCACCCTTCTCCTTGGTCATGATGGAGATGAGTGGCAACCGCGGGCGGTCACTGAACACTTCAGCCTGCTGCACCAGCGCCTCGCGCACGCTGCGGAAGTCGCTGAGGACCACCAACAGACTGTGGCCGATGAATAAGCTGAAGACGTTGCCGTAGACACTGGCCAGCTTGGCCAGGCGCAAGTGGAAGGCCACGGTGTCTGTCTGGCCGCCCCGGCCCAGCCAGAACTGCCGCCGCAGGAAGCGCGGCACCAGCAAGTGTCCCATGTTACCCACGAGTGGCCGGGGTGCGGGCCCCGGAGGGATGCCGCAAGCGCGCTGCCACCGCAGCCAGACCCAGCCCAGCAGTACCGCCAGCCCGCAAAGCAGCAGCGCGCCTCCCGCCGCCCGCCAGTGCAGCCCAGCTCCCGGCTGCTCCCCAGCCGCGGGATGCGGATCCCCGGGAGAGGACATGCTCTAGGTGCCGGCGTCTAGCTCAGCAGCAGACGCGCCGACGCCGGCGCCAGTCGCCGGCAGCATGGCTCGAAGGTCAGGGGCGGAGTAGGGCAAGTTGCGCTCTCCGGATTGGCTGCGTCGCGTGCCCCTCTCCGCATCCTCCAATCAGCTGCTCCTACGTTAGGGGCGGGGTCGTCTTACCAGACAGCTGGTAAAGGGTGGCGGCCTGAGACAACAGAGCGTGGGATGTCCTGAATTTTGTTGTTGTTTGCTTTTGTTTTGTTTTGTTTGTTTTGCCGCTGTAGTGTGCTAGCAGTAGCAGGCTCCTACGCAGAGTGTGAGCTTTCTGTGGGTTTCTGCGTGTGACTTGATTGCATCAAAACAGTCACACGCTGGGAAGGCTGACAACTTTATCATTGGCAATGGAGGAGACCTGAGATGCTGATTACAATTTTAAAAAAAAAAAGTGATTTGCGGATATTCCAACAACACGGCCCTTGAATCTGCTCTGGTGATGGCTCCTGAGTCCTTTACCTTCCTGTTATTTACAGGCCCGATGCTGTGGTTTCTCTTGGTTAGGTTGACTCTAGAACTCGCTATGTAACCAGCTTGGCCTCGAATTCAGAGATCCACCTGCCTCTGCCTCCAGAATTGGGGTATTAAAGGCATATGCTACCATGCTTGGCCGGAGTTGAACCAATTTTTCTAGCCCTTGATTTTGTGATGCTGGGGGTCAAATCCTGGGCCTTGTTCATGCTAGGGAAGTGCTCCATCTCTGATCCACATCTCTGGTTCCTGTGTTAGACCAATTCAATTTTGATCGTGTGTCGTCCCCCCCCCACCCACCCACACACACACAATTTGAACACTACAGTGCTTTATAAAATAACCAAAACATAGCAACTTCTTTTTATAACATGTTTTTTTTCTACCAAGTGGGGTAAGCTAAAGTTCAAGCCTCCTGTTCTCATACTATTTTTGACATATTTTGTCAAGTATACAGATACTTTCTTCCTTCTCCCCAAACTGAAAAAAGCCCACCTCACATTTCCTGTAATTAACCGTTATCAGATTCCTTTTTTTTGTAGCTTAAAAAAAAAAAAGATTTCTTAGTTAAGTTAAAGACATTGAAATCTTAATTACTAGTGTGTGTGTGTGTGTGTGTGTGTGTGTGTGTGTGTGTGTGTGTGGACTTGTGTGGACTTGTGGACTTTGTGATGGACTTGTAACTCAAAATCAATCCAGCCTTAAATTTGGTAGTCTTCCTATTTTGGCCTCCCAAATGCTGGGATTGCAGGAATGCAAGACTACACCTAGAAGAGCATTTTAACTTTTCATCCGCTTGTTGCCAGGGACAGTCTTCAGTGTGTCATTTTTTCTCTTGACGCCTTTCTCTCAGAACACATGCCACTTCCATCTTTATAGGAAAGTTCAGTTCACAAATTACTTAACAGTTCAGTCCCTTTTTTAATGGCAGAGCAGGGTATCTATCTGACACATTGGTTTGCCTTATCTTCTGCCACTGCCCTGCTACCAAACACGTGGACTGCTTTGATTTTGGAGTTAAGATACCCCTTCCAATCCTTGCACAACTTTGTGCACATAAAACTGGACTCTGTTGCTTGTGAAATTCTGCCTTCCAGGAAGATTTAAGTCTCTGCAGGGGGTTCTTCCCTTCACTGCCCCCAGAACCATCACAGCATATACATGAAACTAGATCTGGAGGGTGATTGAAGACTGACCCGATTCAACAACCAACAGCCTCCTTCTTGGGTAAGACACAGCTGCACTCATGACTTTTCCTAAATATCCTCTTACTTTCATTAATAGCTGTGTTATGTGCTGAGTTATAACTGTATGCCCCAATTCCTCAGACTATGACCCTCACGTCTGGGAGGGATTGTATCAGATATAATTCAATTAAAATGAGGCTATGTGAGTGGACCTGAGGTCAAGTGGTCATAGTCTCCATAGTCACACCGGAGACTACGATGGGACGAGGGCCCAGAAGAAAGGCCATGTGCAGACCCAGCAAGAAGGCAGCATCAGCCTCAGAAGCTGGCCCTGGAAATACTTTGATCTTGAATTCTGGCCTCTAGAACCATGGGAAGTAAATTCCTGCCGTCTAGCTACCCTATCTATAGCCCTTGGTGGCAATCTTATAAACTCATATAAAAGACCACAGTGTTCTTCCTAACACTGGGCACCATTTAAAACCTCAAGTATAACTCATCCAGCTTCTTTCTCAATTAAATGCAGGGTATTCTTGCCAGGTAAAGGGACACTTTCTGCTGGTTGTGTGACAAAACTTTCCCTGGGAAGATAAAACACACATATCTTCTCACTCCAGATAGAACCTACAACAGACCAAAGTATAGATAGCACCAAAGTCCAACTTGGTGAACAAATAAGTTTTATTGGGGGTTTTCAGCAATATGGGGGAGGGGTTACTTACAGAAGCAGAAATGACTAAAAGATCACCTGTATTACCAAGCCCACCCCATCATGGGTGACAGCTCACAAAAGCTGGGAACCTGGAGCCCACTGCACAGCGTGGAGGCAGCTCGACAGGTTGGAAAATGTACTTTCCAGGTGCCTCAGTTGGTCTAAACTTCTTCCAGGCAGCTTGTCTGGTTTCTACTTCTTCCAGGAACCTGGTCTGATCTAGGAGTCTTCTTTGAAGCTTGACCCTGCTGCCTCTTAGGGGGACTTGGAGCTTTTGTTGCTCAGTCTGGCAAGGAGGGGGTCTAATGAATCTGGTCAGTTTTGGGGACTTCCTGAAGTGACTTTGACTTGTTTATCTTCCTGCTTGAGGAGCTTCCTGCAGGATAGAATGTTTTAATCACAGAGGAAACGGTTATACAACACTGCTACATCTTTCCCTTTAAACAAATCAATCAAGTTACAACCAGGAGCAGTACATGAAGAGGACATAGGAGGGTCTTTTGGGTAGGAAAGAAAGATGGCAACAACATTGAGGAAGATGACTGTTTTGATTGGTGCTCCGAATACAGTTTTAAACCAGTCCCTTGCCTCCTGAAATCCTTCTGGTTGGCATGGGGTTTGGCTGAAGCTGTCGGTAACTGTATAGGCCAACTATCTAAATAAGCTTGTTATCAAGAGCAGTGTTAATTTACTCAACTTGTAAAACCACAATTGTGGAACTGGTCTCTAAGGCCTCAGAGAAGTCTGTGCCACACATCTCACTCTTTCTGAGTCAGTAAGCACAGACAGAGAGGATTCAGGGATTAGGAAGGTTTTGTAAAATACCAGTGGAAAGAGAAAGTAGAAACACTGTTAATACTACTTAGCTGTACAGTGCCACTGGGCTTTAACTCCCCACCTGCTCTGCTTCATGTTCTTATTGTTTTGCTTTGCATGCACTCCTTAGAATACTGGCTTTGTATGAATTACATACTTTTTTTTTTTTTTTGTCTTCCTGTGTAGCTCTGGCTGGCCCGAAATGAGGTATGTAGATCAGGCTGGCCTTAATCTCAGAGAGATCCACCTGCCTCTGTTTCCCAAGAGTTGGGACTAAAGGTGTGTGCCACCATGACCAGCTACATAATTCTTTAGGTGCATAACATCCTATGCCTCCCCAGGCTGTACTCTGAAGTTGAGAGTATATATATAATGTACCTACATCAAATATAAGGATTAAATCAAACAATCAGCAAAAATGTCTACTGCTTTGTTGCTGCTCACTAAGTTATTGATACCCTTATAATACCTTGAGTTCAATGTGCTGCCTGATAGTGACCATGGGCAACTCTGCCAACACTCCCAAGGTTGATTGCTAAACCTGGCCAAGGTACTGCTTGCTGAATGTAGCCTTTATTGCTTTGAATGATGGCTAAAGAGACCTGCCCATCTTCTACCGGGCACCACTTTATCCATCTCACACCCCTTGGTCACACGCTTGTACTATGATTTATCTTGAGGTGATGGAGGCACCCCCTTGGAAGACCTAAATAAAAGCAGAATTTCAAAGGTAACAGAGTCAAGTTTTATTTAGACAGAGTTGTGCCAGGATTGGGACAAGTATCTTGTCTGATTCCAAAATTGAAACAAGTCAGTTGCCCTACAAACAGGACACTGAGGTCAGGAATGAACATGTTCCTACTCTCCAGTTTAAAAAAAAAGGAATCATGATACACCCCACAGCATGGGTAAATTTTAACAAAACTATCATGCTGAGTGAAGAAGCCCAGTCAAAAATAGTATATTGTGCCAGGCAGTGGTGGCACAGCCCTTAAATCCCAGCACTTGGGAGGCAATGGCAAGAAGATCTCTGTGAGTTCAAGGCCAGCCTGGTCTACAGAGTGAGATCAGGACAGCCAGGGCTACATAACACAGTGAAACCACATCTCAACAAAACAGGATATTGCGTACTTTTGAGGGGCCACAGCAGCACTATGGCTAGGCTTCTCCAGGCCTCAGCCTCCACTAGGCCTGAGTTTTAATTTAGTTTCAGTTTTGGTTTCTGCACCCTGGTAAAGCAGGAAGAGGAGCCCCAAGCCAATCATGTTCAGGATGACCTCATCCCCCTTCTAGCTACTTACAAAAGGAGCCTGAGAGCTCCATTTGGGGTCACAGCCATTTTGTTGTCTGGCTGGCAGACCCCTGCATGCTGGAATAAGCAACACTCTTGCTGATTACACTTGTGAGTGGTGGTCTTTGTTTTGTGGGGTGTTCCGCGGACTTTCATGAATATGAAGTTCCAGATCTGGCAGAACTAACCCAGGTGATCTGGATCAAAACAAGCAATGGAAAAGGCATGGAAGGAATAACACCATTCTGGAGTCATTAGGAATGTTCTAGAATTTGATAGACTCGTTACTTATTTGGTATATGCATTTTACTAAATGTGAATGGAAGCATTTCACTATAGGATAATTGCATCTCCACAATGTAAGTAAAAACATAAAAATTAATAGAAACCAGTATCTGAAAAAAAGGCACAGTGTGGGAGGTTAGAAGACACAGAAAGTTTGATGTCTGAGATGTCCCCACAGAGGTAGAAAATAAGGTGATTAAAAAGTAAAATTCCCTTAAGAAATACTCTCAGTTAGCCAGCTTTATTGT